TTGTTATCATCCAAATTGAAAGTACCCTGTTTGGGAATTTGGCTTTTATCTCTCAAAGTCAGATAAACACCTTAGTTTCAGCTCAGTGATGTGGAACTTCAGTTTGAATGACTCCATTTCAATTTTTAGTCTGGCCTGTGGGGACCCAGTGCAGGAGGAGCTTAATTCAAAACAATAGCCTCATAATTTTTATTTCACCATATGTACCTCAACTACATTTTACTAACAGGTCATTCAGTTATTAAATCAATAAATTCCCCTTGTTTGTTTCACCAGTTTGAGTTTGAATTTCTCACTTGCAACCAAAAGATAGGGAAGTAAAATCCTAAGTTATCGTGATGCACAGGACAAATAATGTAAGCCAGTAAGGGCTTATGAAATAACTCCATAATATGTTAATCACTTCTACTGAGAAAGAACTAAAAACAGGATAGGTTGCTGTGGTACCTCAGTTCATGAACATTTTTGTTTGCAAATAATTTGGTTCACAGAACCATTTGGCAAAATTTTGTTTTTGTTCACAAACTCTGCATTGGGTGACAAACATGACTGTGGCCATCTCTCCCACACAAACAAAAATATGACCATCTTTTCCAGAATTGTGGAGTGAATTGAGTTCATGAACTGAGGTACCACTGTAATAAGTAGGACTTTGAAGTATGGAGAGATGAAGATTCGCCTTCTGATGACATATTTTGTTTTTAAAAAATCAATGAGTGTTTCCAACAAATAGTACAATGTTAAGTGAAATAAATCACACAAGCGTAAATATTGTATGATTTCTCCAAAAGCCCCAAAATATAAATAAATTAAAGAGCAAAAGTAAAAGTAGATACTAGGAAACAGAGAGATAGATCTTTTACAAATGGAAGGGGACCAAGGGATGGAGGTAGGTGAGAGGCCTGGGAGAGTAAAGGGAAGAGAAAGAATTAAGATGTGTATGTATATGTATCAACTCCTTGTGAGGAATGTAATGAATATGTACTGCAAACATACTACTAAAAAAAAAATTTCAAGCTGGGCAGAGTGACTATTGCCTATAATCTCAGCACTCTGGAGGCTGAAGCAGGAGGGTCACAAGTTTGAGCTCAGCCTGGGAAACTTAGTGACTTAGTGAAACCCTGTCTCAAAATAAAAAAGAGTTGGGGATATAGCACAGTGTGAAGGCCCTGAATCCCCACTAGTGAAAAATAAATAAATAAATAAGTAAAAATTTCTTCAAAAGACACTATAAAGAGAATATAAAACTAAGCCAGACTAAAAGAAAGTAATTGCAGAACATCTATTTGATAAAGGACTGATTTCCAAAATGCACATTTAATTCACAAAAAGAAACTAACCCAATTTAGATATGGGCCAAAAGACTAAAGATACCCTTCACCAAAGAAGATAAACAAATGGCAAATAAACATGTGTCAAAAAAAGCTGAGCATCATATGTCATTAGAGAACTGCATGTTAGAACAACAATGAGAAACCTCTGCACACCAAAAATAGCTAAAATCGAAAACAATGATAACTCCAAAAACTGGAAAGAAGGGAGAGCAATCAAACTCCTTTCATTGCTGTTGGGAATGCAAAATGGTACAGTCATTTGGAAGACAGTGTAGTTTCTTACAAAATTAAACACCATCTTACCACATGATCCAGCAATTACGCTCTGTGGTATTGACCCAAATAAGTCTACAACTCATGCCCGCACGAACAGTGCATAAGAAAGTTTACTTTCCACTTAATTTTTCTGTCACCATAAAACTGTTCCCCCCAAAGTATAAAATCTATTAAAGAATAAATAAATACCATTTCAAAATAATAAATAAAAATGAATTTTGGAGCAAAATTCCCTCTACTTTTATAGATGTTTCACATTTCCATAGCAAACTTATACAAAATACACAAACCCCAAAATTCTACATCTAGGATTTTATTCTACAGATGTGTGCACATATTGATCAAATGTTTATGCCAAAAGATTATGTAGTATTATCAGTAAAAGCAAAACAACCTGGAAACAACTAAATATGCATTAAGAAATGTTTAAATTATTTTTCTTTTAGATATGGAACACTATAGAGCAGTGAAAAAGAGGTAGCCATATGTGCACAATGCTATACAAAGGAAGTACTTGTCTTTTGTTTCTAAATATGGCCTAAGTAACTAGAATACCATGTGCTCATCACATGGTAGATACTTGATGTATATTGGTTGGCTATATGAATAGAAAATGACCAACATTTTTTAAAGCAAGATATAAAACAATGTGTGTATGGTTTGTCTTTGTTTGTATAAAAAGATATAAATATAGATGTACAATATATGTTTCATAAGAAGGACTCACAGGAATCTGGTAGCCATGATGGAAAAATTAAGAATGGAAGTTAGGGAAAGGAGTAAGACCTCACAGCATTATCTTAGTGCTTATGAGCAAAATGATATTCTCCAATAGAAGGAAAGAAAACATTAATAAAAAAATCAATAAGGAACTAAAGAATGTACCAATAGAAAGATGGACAAGATCTGAATAATCAATTTGCAAAAGGACAAAGAAAAATTATTAATACTCAAATAATAAAGTGAAAATCAATTAAAAGTATCCTTTTTTAACTGTCAAATTCATAGATGAAGAAAGATCCTCAAAAGGTGAAAATGGGTAGAGAGAAATGGACACACTCATGCACTGTTGATGGAAGTGTAAATATACATATCCTTTCTGGAGGGCAGTTCAGCCCTCAACCATTTCAACAAAATCAACAATAAAGTTAAATACCTCCTTTATCTTCAACCAACCTATCCAACTACCAGGAATCAAACAAATGTGAAAAGTTCTTTACACAATGACATTCTAAGCAATGTACATTATATATACTTGGGGGGAAATCTGCTTTTAAATAGACTAAGTAAGTACATTTTGTTTGCATATTCATTGTGATGGTTAAGCTTGTCAGTTGACTGGGTTAAGAGACAGTAAAATGCACTTCTGGGTATGGCTGAGGGCCCATGACCATGGGAACTACAGTATATCTGGTTCCAGGCCCCTTCTTCTCTGGTGCTATTTCCCTGCTTTGCTTCTTGCCCACCATGAAGTGAGCTGCTTTGTTCTACCATGCCCTTCCACCATGACATTTCTGCTTTGGAGCTAACTGTTATGGCTTGTGTCTAGATGTCCCACCAAAGCCTCATGCAGTCATAGGTGGGGCTTTTTCAGAAGTGGCTGGATCTAGAATGTATGATGCTTGGATTAAGGGTGTATGATTACTAAATTAGTTCAATGATTGCTTTGGCCTAGTTCTGGGTGTGGATAATGGGAAGGCCTACCTGGGTGTGAGTGCTACCCACCCTAAGAGCGTGAAGCCTTGGTAGAGTATAAGGAACAGAAAGAAGGCTGCTGCCATCACTTGCTGCTGCTGCGTGCTGCACCCTGCTTGCTGCTTTGCTGCTTCCTGTTTGTCCTGCCATATCATGGACTGTTTCTCCTCTGCAATGCACCTCTGCCATGCCACTCTGTGTAGGAGGGAGCCAACTATGGACTGAAACCTCTGTAAACTGTGAGCCAAATAAACCTTTCCCCCTTTAACTTTGAGTGTCAGATATTTTGTCTCAGCAACAAGAAAAATGATTAAGACACAAACAAAACATGTACTGAAACTTGTGAAACTGTGAGCCAAAATAAAAGTCTCCTCCTTTAAATTGTATATGTCAAGCATTTTGGCCACAGCAACGAAAAGCTGACCAATACATCAGTAAAATACTGTGCAGACATTTTTATTATTTATGCTTATACTTCTGGATTTGGAAAGCAGTCTGCTCTCAACTATGATAACAATAAAGAGGACATTTCCTACTTATCATGATAGGTGGGTACATGAAGGCATCCCTCTTGACCAAGTACCACCCCAAATCTGGACTTAAGCATACAGGAGTAAAGGAAACATGACATCAGGTGGGGTTTCCTTACTGAATTTGACCATTTTCAACTGAAATTACTAAAGCCTCTTGGTTTGTATAGACTCTGCTTTTGAGTAGGAGTTTTTTTATAAAAGTTCAGATGTATAACATTTTATCGGGACCATCAAGAACTTTCTATAAAACCACAGTCAAGGCAGTGTAGGAATACCATAAAGATGGCCCTGTAGAATAAAAAAGAAAACCCAGAAATAGACCCACCCTTATACAGTCATTTGTTATCGACAAACATGCCAAAGTAATACAGGAGAAAAGGAAAGTCTTTTTAACAAATGAAGAAAAAAGAGAAAACTGGTTTATCTATATGAAATTGTTCTTTACCTCACACCATACACAAAACTTAACTCAAGATGAAACAGATCTAGTAAATATTAAAATTATACTTCTATTCCATCTCCTGCCTCGCAAGCACAAGGTCCCAAGTTTGATCCCCGGTACCAAAAAAAAAAATTATAGTTCTAGCTTAGAAGAAAGGATAGAGGAATAAATTTGGTCACTTAGGGTATAGGCAAAAGTCTCATAGGACACAGAATACAATAAACATGAAAGAAAAAAGTGGATAAAATAAACTTCAAAACTAAAAATACATCATTTAAAAGCATTGCTAAGATAATGAATAGGCTATCTAAAAACTGGATTAAATATTTGTAAAACATATATATGCTTAAGGAATGTGTCTAATAGATATCAAGAGTTCCTGTAACTTAATAAAAGACAAACAACCCAACACAGGGCACTTGTAGTGAAATAAGGTCCAATTTATGGTTAATGTAGAAAAACAACGTTACCTAAAAAAGAAGAAATACCACTACAACCTTCACATTTTACCCAAACTTTGAATATAATGGAAAAATCATTTAATTTTTTAAAAAGATAAGATTAACTGGCATATAAACTTTAAAAAGATAATCTGATATAAAAATTAAAAATATCTTTGTATTAACCTCATCTTAATTAACTTTTAACAAAGTATGGGTAATATAATTCACCCCCACAAAAAGAAGTCACACAAAAAACTGAGTTGCATATAATAATATTTTTATTTCATAGTCTTTTTAAAAAATATAAACCAGTTGCATATTTTGAAAAACTTCCACAGAATAATCATTTAGCAGTCATAATATTACAAAAATAAAGTAACAGAATAAATTGCATGATTAAAACAAAATACCTTCTGCTGAATCACTCTGACTAGGAACACAGCCACTAAGAAGGTTAGTGGACCAGCACTGCCATGTTTTCAATTAGTAAGCATCACTACAGTCAGGCACAAGACCTATTCCCAGGAGACCATTCCATTTTTTATAGGAAGATGTGCAATGCATAGATGTCATGTTAACATCTTGTGTTTAGTTCCAAAATACCATTGTTCTTTTTCCTCTGGGAGAAAAGTTCAATGGTAAAGTAGAACAGTGATGGGACACAGCACATGACTGGCCCACATCTCTCCCACTAGTTCTAAAACACAACAAAGAGAAAGATGTGGACTTCACTGTTCAATACAACAGCCACTAGCCCTATGTAGCTATTTAAAACAAGAATAATTAAAATTCAATAAAATCTACATTTTACTTCCTCAGTCACACTTGACACATTTTAAGTGTTTACTACTTGTTACCATATTGGACACTGCAGATATAGAACATTTCTATCATCACAGAAAGTTCTTTTGGACAGCCCTGTATGTGGGAAGTGTTTCTTCTCCCTTTGGTTAGCCAGGGTGTAGGCTGCTTGTGGAAGCAGCTTGGAGAGACAATTCTTGTCCCAGAATATTCCTAGACTGGTGGTGGAGTCACAGAAGGAAGTAAGGTTGTCTTTCTTTGCATATGAAAGGGATGGTCATTTACAGGGATCAAATACACACTCTAGATTCCACCCAAATCTAACTGCCAGGAAAATTAAGGAGGAGATAAATGGTGCATGTGAGGAAGTGGCAAAGTAGAACATTCTTTATCCTACGCCCAACCTCCATACAGGGATCATGTCTACCAAGAAAATATGTGGGTCTTCAGGCTCCTCCTCTAGAGAATCCCAGCTCAAGGCAAGTATGTTGGCAAAGAGGTCAGTGCTGACGAGTGTTTCATGAGAAAATCTGCCATGTCTTCACTCTGCTCACTTGGAGCTGAGCAGTGTTGCTGGAGTTTTGCCAGTGAGAAAGCTATCATTTTGATCTGTTTCAAATATTATGCTCCCGTACAACTATATTTTATAACCAGGGCATAGACCACTAGTTGTCCACTGAAGATCCACCATTATTGCTCTTACCAAGGAAACTCAGATTTTGGTTGAAAGCTACAAAAATTACATTTCTTGAGCAATCTTGCAGATAGTAGTAGCCAGTTACACAGTTCTGGCCAATACAAGCAAAAGTTGGGCTGCTGAGAAATGCTTTAAAAGGATGTGCATTCAAATTGCAAGGCTGTGCTTCCCTTTGGGGTGTTTGCCTTCTTGTTGTGGGGGACTGCAGGGATAATCTTGGAACCTAGAGGGGAAAGCCAAGGGTTAGAGCCTGATATCTGTGAACTACTGACCAAATTCCAGCAGTTACCTATCTCCAATACTCATCAAATGTGAGTTACCTGAGAAAAGAACAAAACCTCTAATTTGGTGAAGCCAATGTTTAATAACTTCCTACTCTCTTATAAAACAAAGGTTAACTATGAAGATGTTTAACTTAAACCCATCCGTGGCTTAGGGATCTGTCTATAAAGACCAAGCAGAAGTGATCAGGTTCATTAAGTAAAGTAGCTGCTATTCAAGAAAATAAGAGGATTTTTAAAAAGCTTAATCCATCAGGAAGCATTTCTGAGCTCCTATTATGTTCTGATTACTTTCCAAACACAGGTGTCTGTCTGCCTTCTGAATATCCAAGTTCCTGTATTCCTGTATGGTAATATGCTCAGTACTCAAAATCAGATCAGCATTGAACTATTACTTTATTTATTTTGTGTAGACAAAATAAGAAATGAAGAATTTATTTCACTGATTCAAACAAACAAAGAAGAATCTATATCAAAGACCTGTAACTCAACTCTTAACTTGCCCTTGCATGTGACACAGATATCTGACAATGGCATCTAATGATTTTAATTGTGGATTTAGTTTAAATAAGCATAAGTACCTCAGACTAGCTGCAAAAATTAAAAACAAAATGCAGAACTCTGCAGATACTTTCTATGTACTATATTAGTCTCTTTAGTATTGTAAAAGTCCCTAGATTAATAAGTATAACTTAGAAAAAAAAACATTTCCAAGTATCCTAAATAGTTTAACCATTTACAATGCTTAAATTTTTAATCATTTAAAATTTAACTCTAATGCACTTATTTTGAAACTATAAACAAAATTGAGAACATGGAATGTCAAGTTAAAAATAGAGTATTGTGTATTTTTTACTTACCTAGTTCCAAGTTTCCACCCCTGCAAGTGAACTAAAAACAAATCCTGGCACCTTGTCATTCCCAGAAAAACCCGTGCATGCATGGCACACTCTGGGTAAATTTTATCTTTCATTCTGTAGAGTCACACCAGATGGCATCAGTCCTGCATCTACAGCTGTGCCCTAAAATTGAAGTTCAGGCACAGGAATCTGCTTTATTAAACACTTTGGATTTTGCAAGTGTGCATGTGTGATGTCATTCCCATTCACCTCAAAATGGTTATCTTTCCAAGTGGAACTACAGATCCATTGCACTTACAAATTTGGAAATTAATGAAACAATCAAGATTGTCCTAAGAAGATCTGAAGTCATTTTGAACAGCTGAAATTTAGAAACAACAATGAAATAAGAAAATCTAAAATAAAATATTAATACTGAATTATAGAATCATGGCTCATTTCCTTTTAATGTAAGAAATTCAATTCACCTTCTAACACTCAAAATCTTTTACTGAAAATAAAACAAGAATATTTTATAATCAAGTCATACTTATAGATTAAACAGTTATCTTAAATGTTCCTTACTTTTCAAATCCTTTAATGTCTAATTCATATTTATCCTACCTTTAAAAGTAGACTTGACATAGTGATTGTCAGAACCAAGGTATCATCAGTGGCTGGAGTACCCAGTACATGGAAGTTTGGAACCTATAACATTGTGGATGTCAGAGCAAGCATTTATACAGGTAGTCAAAAAATGTGAGTTCAAAAACAGTTCTGCTTCAAGAGATTAGCCTTATGCTGGCCTGGGGAAAAGTGACGGTTGAATAAATGGATAAGAGTAGATAATTCATATACGCGTGTCAAAAGTTTCAAAAAGCAAGGGCAACAAAGCAAGGGCAAGGCAGGAGACCAACAGCAGCAAGTTTTGAGGGCAAATGTGAGGAACTTCAAATCCCAACTGTTGGGGTCAAATTCCAAGCAAGTTGGGATAATATGAATATATATTCATTTTTGCTGAATAAACAAGAACTTAGTAATTAATGAATTAGTTTACAAGGAGGTTATAAACTGGCATGGGACACAAGATAGGAAGGCAAGCTCTCCTTTCTTAGGAACCTGAGTCAGTAGAGCCAGCAGAGAGGTTGGCTGACACTAAGATAACAAAAAACTACTCACCCAGAGTTCTCTACACTTTCCTGCTAGGAAGACTCAGGACAAGTTAAGCTGCTGGACATCAGTGGGACTGCTAGCAAGATTAAAGGATTAAAAATCAAGAATCCAAGCAGGTGGTTAAAAATCATTTGCATTCTGACTATTTATAAAGTATGAAACAATTGTTTGCTATCCTTATAAACAACCATAATTGCTAATTACTCCCACATTCATCTTCAATGTTCATTTCAACCATATAACCCAATAACTAAATGCCACTGCAGAGATATCAACCAATTAGAGAACTATTGTTCAATGCACAATGCAGAATTCCAACTGGAAATTCAAATTAAGTCCGATAGAGAAATGATGCAGAGGTGAGAATCTGCTCATGATTAATAGTTAAAAGAAACCGTTTATTTCATTTAAGAACAAGTTTATTTTGACAAAGTGAAATAGAAATGTGGGAAATCATCTAAATGTCACAGACCAAAAACTTTTCCCATAATTACTCACCAAAGTGGGACTATTCTTTCTTTGCTTTGAATTACCAAAATAATTTCTTCCACTTCACTTTTGTTTATCGACTTGGGTAAAATTTAGTATTTCATTGGTTTTAGCCTCTCTAGATGGTCTTCCTTTGTGTCTAAAATTAATATTGTCAATATTATAGTCATGATATAGACAGTTTGTTCCACCCTAATATTAGCAAACCCAAATCTACCTTTATTGAAGACAAATTACATCTGTCCTACATATTTCACTCCAAGGATCCCTGCATTGTTTTCCAAAAGAGCACGATGATTTCAAAAACTACAAACTCTTAAATCTGTCTAATTTCCATAATTCTCTACCTAGACACTGATTCATTCAATGAGTGAGAAATCAGTTTGGCTTCTTGGTTCCAGTAGAAGCTCACCAGTTGTAAGTGGGAAGAGAGCCTTTTAGTTCATGATACCCATTTCCCCCATCCTGACCCTTCACTTCCTCAGGCCCTGGATCTTCCAAAATCTAGCCATTAAGGTTAAGGTTAGCGTTGAGCAACATGCAAGTATGCGCGGTCCTGACTTACACAGCTTCGATCTCCCACTGTCCCGGCCTTCTAGCAGAGTTCCAGGTAGCAAGTGGAGTTGGAGTCTGTGGGGCACCAGCTAAAAGCAGCAACTCCTCTCCAGGTGACACGAATCTAGGAAAAAGCATCTGGAAGATGAAGTTATTTCCCAAGCTAACATTGCTTGGCCAATGGTTAATGGGCACAGGCGAGTTTACTTCTGCTCTCCAATCTTTCTGCAAAAGCTCTGACCATTGAATCTCACCACAGGACTGCGCTCTGGTCTTCTTTTACCTACTGCCCTACACCGTGTCCGGAACCCTGCAGCCCATCACCAAAAAAGGTCACAGACCAGCCAACCCAAAGGCACTTGCCGAATGCATACTCCAACATTGGCGCTCCCGTGTCTCGGAGTCTGAACCCACCCTGCGCGGCCACCTGCAGGCTAGACTCCGAGTAGAGATCTGGGTAGGAAGGAATTCTCTATCCCGTCCCTGCCAGTTCAAGTCCATTTGGCGCTTCCCAAAGCGCAAACATTAAGGTATATTTGGAACATTTTACAAATGTGCCCTCTTTCCTCCAACCGCCTGCCCCAAAGCTCAATCATTTGGATACTTAGGTTGATTTTGTTTGACGTGGCTGGACTGACTTAGCTAAATAATATAATTTCCCACCTCACGGCTACAAATGCAATTGGTCTGGAAAGAAGTTGCGGGTCCCCCAAACCATCCAGACTCAAAGGCTAACCTCTGTTTCATCCATCTCTCCTCGGTCCAGACCAGGCTCCCTGGAGACGCACAGCGCCAGGCCAGATCCCGTACACCCGCGGTCCACTGCACGCCACGAGCCCGGAGCCTCCAGGGAAGACAGACACCTCCATCCCTCTGCGGCTCCTCCAAGCGGGAACTGACCTCCAGGCGAGAAGGTAGCGCGGACGAGGAACCAGGCAGCCAGCCGGGTGCCCTCCTGCAGGAGCCCGCGCCTGGTTCACACCGCCTGCTCGTGGTTGAAGCCCCAGGGCTCTCGGTGCAGAGAGAGGCGCCCTGGCTGGAGCGTCCCGGCCGTGCTGGCCACAGAGTTCTTCAGCTGCTTGATGACCACGAAGAGTAGGAGGAAGAGTAGGAAGAGCAAGAAGAAGAAGAGGGCCAGATAGAGCAGCAAGTTGAGCTCCCACTCCATGCTGGAGGCGCCGGGTTTCAGCGGTGGCGCGCGCTCAGCGCAGGCAGCAACCGCAGGGCGAGGGGCGCCGCCCGCGCCCTCCTCCCGCTCCCTTCCGCGCCACCCGGGCTCCGCGCTCCGCCTCTCCCAGCTGCGCGGACCCGCGCCAAGAGGCGGCAGGAATCCTGGCTCCGACTTGCCAAGCAAGCACGAGAGCCAGCAGCTTCGCTGAGATCCTCGTCTGCGCTCTTGAGGGCGCGAGTGGGTTTTTCTAGGAGCGAACTTCAGCGGGCGGGGACACAGGAGAGGTAACAGCTCAGGCTCCCGGAGTGTTGGTCATGTTCTGCACACGACCGAGGATTTCCACTGCCAACATCCCTAGACCCCTCACTTTCTAATTAATTCCCTTGGTTATTTCCCCTGTTCCAGCTTTCCGGAAAGATAGGCCATGCCGTGGTCCAGAGACGCGACAGGATTAAAGGTGCCTTCTGAAGGCCCATGAGATGACCTCGTGCTATGACACCAATAACTGTTCAAGCTGCCTCGCTCTTCAGGGTTGCAGGTGCGCTCAGGTTGAGTGCCCTTTTCTTTGGACAATCCGGTCCTTAAGAAAAGCCTAAAAAGCCAACTGCATGTCAAAAGTTTAATTGTACAAAGCTTTAAAATGATGGCTGCAATTAGTTCCTTTAATGAAAAGACTGGGGTGGGGGAGATGCACAAAGTGTTCCATGATGCCTCTGACACCCCTCCGCGTTTGACTGAGGTCATCTGTAGCCCATATGGTTATGTCTGAGAGAAATGGTGCACGTATCACTGTGCAACAAGTTATCCCCAATTTAGTGGCTTAAAACAATGTAAACTGGTTATTTCTTGGGGCCAGGGATGTAGTTCAGTGACACTGTGTCTGCCTGGCAAGCCCAAGGTCCTGAGTTTGATCCCCAGTACTACAAAAAAAAACAACAAAAAACAAAAACAAAAAAACATGGCAATTTCTTCAAGTTTCTGGGAGTTGAATTTGGGAGCATTGCACTGGGTGATTGTGGCTTAGGGTTTCTCAAAAGAAGTACTGTGAGATGTCCACTTCCAAGGTGGACACTCACACATCTGGTGGAGAGGCTGTGGTTGGTGGGGGCTCAGGGCATGTGGACTTCTGCACTGGGCCCCTTGCTACTCACAGCACAGCCACTGGCTTCCCACAGAAGTGGGCCAATGGATTGAGGCAGAAGCTACAGTGCTCCTTAACCATTAGCTTCTAATGCAACGTGTCAACATTTCTGCAATAATCATATGGGCCACACAGGTCAGACCTATTCCATGTGGGAGTCCAGAGATGGGAACACCAAGGGGTAAAGCTTACTGGGTCCATCTCAGAATCTGGCTATTGCAGCAGGTTATCATTTCCATTTCATAGACCTTCAACTTTCTTTTTTTCATTTACTTGTTTGTTTTGTGATACTGGAGATTGAAGCCAGGGCCTTTGCCCTGAGCTACATCCCCAGATTTTCTTTCTTTTCTTTTCTTTCCTTTCCTTTTCTTTTCTTTTCTTTTCTTTTCTTTTCTTTGAGACAGGGTCTTGCTTGGTTGCTAAGATGCCCATTCTGGGCTCAAACTGGTGATCCTCCTGCCTCAGCCTCCCAGTGTGCTAGGATTACTGCACCACCAAACTTGACTTTCATTTCATCCTTTATTTGTGAAGATACCTGACAGACCCTGGCATGAGTTCAGTAGGTGAGGCCTGCCAAACACACACCAGGTTTTATAATGGGTAGTCTATAATAAGTGTCTGGTCCAGTTTCCAGTTACAGCAGGTTATTCAAAGAGACAGGAAGGTATGGAAAGAGCTATGAACTGGAAATTCCCAGGACCTAATTCTACTTTTGGCTCCATCTGATCATGGTCACTTTTTCTCTGCATCTCTCAGTCCCCTGATCTGTACTATATTTTGCTTACCTTTCCCTTGGATTTGTTATAAAAGTCAAAAGTGAAAGGGATGTTAATTAAGAAAGTGT